ATTGTCCACGGCGTACGTTATCTCAGTATATTTATCCAATTTGATTTTTTCGAATCAAATTGGAAAAATTTTGAACTCTAGTTACTCTCAATTTCTATTGCATATATTAGCATAATGAGATATAATTTTGAAAGTTCTCAATACGATAAATCTTATAAAGTGTTTTTATGTTAAAATACATTACGATTTTGATTTAATTGAATCTAAAAATTTGTCCAGATTGACTCGAAAAAATCAAACTGGACAAATACACCGGGATGGAGGGAGTATTTCCTTTGCATGTAAAAACATTCCGTAATTTCCGCGCACACAAAAAAACATTTGTGAGGCATGCTTTAATTAATATGTACGACTTGTATCTTGTAATAGTCCTATTATTAATTATTATCAATAACAAACCGGGTTACAGGTGTTTCCACCTACAGCCCTTCCGATCACTTACACTTTATATTTGCACGGTAATTTACACCATCAAATACCAATCATGAGCATATACATTACCAAATATGGATAAGAAAATGGAACTCCTATTTTGATTTTTTTTCTATGTTTTAATCTTATTTAGGATGTTTTTTTAGTACATATTGAAATTTCCACAAGCACAGTGTAGTAACTAGTAACTGACGGGTTAAACCACAAACAATGCAATCGAGATATCGTCGAAAACTGTGTTGTAGCTCAAGTATATGAAGCACAGAATACTACAACACCTTTTCTAACAACAGCACACACACAATAAAACTAAGTAAAGACATAGAGATTTGTTTACGCAGTTCGGAGTTGAATGTCCTACGTCTGCGAAGCCCACGTCCGTGTAATAGCGTTTTCACTAGATCATCGTAAGAATTGCACAATCAATCTCAACAAATTCTTCTAATGAATTGACTTGTCTACTTACGTGATCTGACAATAAACTCGGTTTGTGTCTCTATCAAGTCTATTACACGTTCCTGCTCACAATAATTAACTTATGATTAATAATAATAATCTTACCGATGGTAATAATAACAACAACAACAACAATAATGAAGACTACTAGTAATTAATAATATCTAAATATCCTATTTCACCATCCATAACCGTTTTCATATATAAGAGGATCCATGGTAAAATTTAAATCCATCCATAATAGAAACATTAATAAACTCATAAAATAAAGGTTAAAAATATACTTTAGCTTAATTGGAGGAATAATTTACGGAGAACAAGGGTAAAAAAGTATAAGAAAAGAAATGGAAAATGTGAAAAAGAGAATTAAAGCTGGATGGTATTTGATCGTCCTCGGACTAATAACTTTGTCTTTGTTATTTGGGTTACACACAAGCTCACACGACAAACACAATTAAACGAGTGTCACTCAAACCAGAAGTTTAATTCTTAAACTCAATGCACTCTCACCATGGCTAGTGTGTGTGTGAGTGTCAATATATATAGAAAGTGAATGAAGTCTGACCATATGAATATTAAACAGAGATTATAATTTGGGACGGAGGAAGTAGTATTTTTATATTAGTCCGTTTTTACTAGGTTAAATCATAGCAATGTCAAAATTTCTTCATATATATATATATATATATATATATATATATATATATATATAGACACACATATATGGAGTAGTATTTTTATTGGGTTCCATTAATTCTTACAATAATCAGCGGGCCGGGAAGCATCAACTAGCTAGTTAAAGAAGAAAAATGGCAGAAAGCAGAAGATGTCTCTTCGCCATAAATATGCTAGTGTTCGCCCTGCCATTTTTCTTCTGTATGGGCCTGGTCGTAATCCGGGTAACTCTCTTGTACAGCCGTTGTGTGAGAATCAATCCCCTCCTGGACACATTCCTCCTTGGGGGAATCTTCGTGTTCATCCTGGGCGTGGCTAGCTGCACAGCCTTCATGATCAGTGTCCGTGATCATGATTGCTGTGCACAAGGTGGCTGCACTTGTTACGTTATAGCCATCTTTGTTTTGTACTTTTTTGTTCTTTCTACCATCCAATACGGCTTTGACATCACCTCCGCCGCCGGTTACTACGTCCCTGCACCGCCGTACGGTGTTGGGGGTTCTGAAGATCACCCCCGCCTCGACCACTTCTCCCCGGAGCTTCGGGACGGAGTTAGCCGCCCCGGAGAGTGGGATCGCATCATCGCCTGTCTCGCTCCTTCTATTGGCTGTGACCGCTTGAATCAAACTAATATTTACACTTCCTCTCAACCATTGTTCTCTGCACATCTCCCACCATTGCAGGTACATATATATATATATATATATATATATATATATATATATATATATATATATATATACATATTCCTTCAATTCCCTCTCCTTTTTATTCTCACTCCACTTTAATTTATCTTGGGTTTCCAATGCTACACTTCTATCATTAATATCTTTACGTTATATTGCACCGTTAGCCCCGGTGGATCCAGAAAAAAAATATTACTCGGGCAAATACACACTAAAGAGTATGGTGGGGTTCAGGGGTGGCACTTCCAATTTTTTTAAAGCGTTTGACAATGATAAAAATAAATAAATTTAATTTCAAACAAGGGTAAGTATTCCAATAAAAAATAATTTAAAGGTATAAAAATAAAATATAAAATATATCATAACATAATATAATTATGATATTTCAAATATTTTACCTGTATATGTTTTTAAGTGATTATTTTTTACTATTAAACTACTAACTCCGTCCCTGAGTATTTGTCCAGTTTTGACTTTTTTCGGTCAACAGCTTTCAACCTTTGATAATTAAATAAAATATATATTGTATATTAATTAAATAAAATAATATTTTGAAAATGTTTGATATAATAAATATAATAAAACTATTTCCATATTAATATCTAATATCATTTTTATTTAATTTGAGGTCAAAGTTTACCAATTTTGACCGAAAAAAGTCAAAAGTAGACAAATACTCAAGGACAGAGGAAGTAAGATTTTCTTTTGTGGGTGGGGCAAACTAATTTTTTTACCGGGGTCGTTCTTTTAATTCCTCAAAAAAAAAATATTTTAATATTTTATGTTATGGAGTAAAAAAATTGACTGGGGGCGACTGCCCTCGTATTCATATATGTAGATCCGCCCCTGACCGTTAGTCTTTCAAGTAAATGTACTATGTACTGTTAGTCCTTCAACTTTCAAGTTGGTCCTTCCGTTAACTCTACCGTTAATCTCTTTATTTATTTTTTTCATTTTTCATTATAAATACATGTGATGAAGTTCTCTTTTTCATATAATTAATTTATATTTTGTATTGATCTATTTTTTAATAGTAGTTTTTTTGTTATATTCTATAATGTTGGTGTTAATTTGAGAACTAGAAGTGTAATTTCATAATGGTAATATATTTTTTCTTGTCATATACAATTACAAAGGTCACTTCTGATGCGTCGTTTGTAATTACAGTCGCTTTCTACTGTAACCATAGTCTACAGATGTGGAAAGGTACCCATAAAAGGACTACGGGGTAACATTTGATAATAATGGACTTTATATGGAAAATCTTTTGTTATAAAAGACCAATTATAGAATTTATTCTTTAAAATTTGAACCGAATACACATCATTGATTAAAACGATCATTTTGATAAAGTACTTTAATAGAAATGATAAATTTGAAAACTTAGTCTAAGTTTAGATCAATGATGAAACATACCAAAATATCTTCTCTTTAATCAACATTTAAATGACACTGTTTACTAAGAACTATTAATAGGATAAAGCTCAATTATGAAGTACAGAGTACCGTGAAGATGATTGAAATTTATTGAGGACTACTTTGGTAAAACACTCCATTAAAAAGGATCATTTTACAAGTTTATTCTTTTCTATTAGAATATGTATCTAAAATTTTTTTTGAAGTCTATTAGAATCTATTAGAATATGTATCTAAATTTATGATAATTAAAATTGATTGAAATTAACTTCTTGCAGTCGAAATGTTGTATGCCACCACCAGAATGTGGGCTATCTTTTGTGAGCCCAACATATTGGGTACCCCCAACTAGCAGCAATCAAACATATAGTGATGTTGATTGTACGATTTGGAATAACGACCAAACGAAACTTTGCTATGCCTGCGATTCTTGCAAGGAAGGAGTACTCTCCAAAGTCCGAAAGAATGGAAGAATTGCATTCCAACTTTTTCTTACTCTTTCGGTGGTATTCATTTTTATTGAGTTCTATAAGTGTTATTATTTGGCATAAAATTCGACATAGTTTGAACCAACTGTGTACCTTTGGTTTAAGTTATTTTCATTGCTCCCTGTCATTTTGCGAAATACAAATATGAATTTTGATATTTGATAATGCCTTTTTAGTTATTGATATGTTTATAAGGGAATACTTACCTATTATAAATGAAAAGTATTTTCAACAACTTACCGATTTATATCTGTTCATAATATAATATTCTCAACCTAAGGACACGCAAAATGTCAATACCTCCGCCGAGATTCGAACTTGAATAACTTCCCCATGAAGTTCTATTCTAAAGAGTCTTTGAACGATGCAATGTAACAAAAAAAATGAATTCTACCCAGTTGTGGGCAGGCCCAAATTCAATGCCAAAAGAAAAAAAATCAATCTTTTTTCAATTTTCAGACAAAATAGTCGACGCTTTTCTTGCCCTGAATCTGACTACCACCTCCAAGAAGGTGTGACCACCGCCACACGTAGTCTCTACATGGAAAGGGAATTCGGGTTTGAACCAGATTAATTATGATGGGTCAGCAATGCCATCTTTTAATTTGGCTAACAAACAAAGAATATAAGTAACTTTGAACTTATTTGGTTGAAATGGATAACACCAAACAATTTTCCTAACAAACTAAAGAGAGCTCATTTTAACCAAAGAACCCTTAGCAAAAGGGTTCTATAATCTATATGCTATATAGGGTACATATATAGAGATGGTTGACTTTTTTCTTCTTCTGTGTGTAATCAATTGATGCATATATATATGTAGTCATGGAATTGTTGTACTTTGTTGAAGGCATTCAGAAATTTTATTATAGCTTTGAATGCTTTGTTAAGATAAGTTCTAAGTAATGTAACCAATGTGGAAACACTCTTCATTACTAATGTATTTTGTCTTAAATGTTTAATATTTTATTCATCACAAGGCAGTAGTATATTGCTCCAAATCCCAACACGTGATGTAAGTGTTCCCTTACTTCCCTACCTTTTTTTTTAGTTGCGCCACGATTCTTATACACTGAAATTTGGTGTTATACGGAATATTATAATATCGGGGCCGCGTTCTCTTCACCTGATCTGATTGATTCTGATATGATTGGAATAATATTCGATTTGATCTGGTCTGATTTGATCTGAATGTAGTTATCTTTAGAGTTATTTTGATTTGATCTAGTCTGGTCTGATCTACTCTGATTCCAATAAGAATAAGTAATAAGTAAAAATAATAAGTTGATGAGAACATGGCCTGAGTCTCTACAAAGCGTTCGCAATCTGGGAGTGGTGAAAATGCAATATAGCATCGTTACAAGGAACGATATACGGATGAACGTGTGAAAAACTTAATGGACTAAATGTATCGCGAGATTGTTTTCAAATTAAAATTATTTTGGGTATACGAAAATATAATCAGATAAAGACATTAGTATCTAGAACGCGTACGGAAGTTCTATTGTTTCTTAAACATACTCGGGGACTCTAGATATATAGAGCACAAACTGATCACATGCGTCTATTGACAAAATGTTACAATTTTACGCAGAACATTTGAATGTTTGGCTAGAACATTCGAATTTATGTAGAAGTTATGGCTAAACACTATGTTTCAGCAATTTTCTGCGTGAACCATTGCGGGTTATTACGAAACATTTGAATGCTTAATAATAAACATTTGAGTGTATCAGATCATTTAGTAATAAATGATGGCGACAAGCATTACATTCAAATGTATGATTTATATACATTGGAATGTACATAGCTTTGAATTGGTAATATTATTGAACGAAAGTATGCTCGGCACCACCTAACTTTTTAACAATGCCAATTCAAATTCATGTTGCATAAATAGTTAATGACATTAAAATCGCCAACATATAGGATACTTTGTTCAACTATGAACATGACCTCTTTAGTTTTTAGAGGTCATTAAAATTTAATTTTCCTCCCTAAATTTTGTTAGGTATTTGTTAAAATAATGACATCATTTCATCTCTTGTTTTAGAGAGTAGTACTCCCTCCGTCCTAGTGTATTTGTCCAGTTTAATTTTTCGAGTCAAACTGGATGAACGTTGAGTTTCAATTGAATAAAAACCATAACGTAAATTTATATTTAAAAAAAATATTAGATTTATCTTGTTGAGGGTCAAAAATTTTATTTTATTATGCTAATATGCAATACAAAGTGAGAATAATTGAAGATCAAAGTGTACCCAGTTTTACTCGAAAAAGTCAAACAAGAAAAGTATACTAGGACGTAGGTATTATATGTCTTTATGTTGGTTTTTAACACTAATAACTTTATAAGAATATAGTATCTGTTCATATGTTGTTTTTAATTATATATGGAGTAACTTATTTTGAAATGTATATCGTGTTAAAGTGTCATCCCACATCGGAAATCTAAGAGTAAAAACAATCGGTATATAAGCTCTTGAGTTAAACTAACTAATTGATTGGATTCAATCTTTTAATGTGGTTCGTTTGTCAAGGTGTCTGTCTAGACGTTCATTCCTAGCGGCCCGTCCGTCTTTAGCCCAGTTGTCTGTATGGAGTATGTACTGTTGGAACACACTTTGTACGTTAAACTAAAGTCGTGTTCATTTCTGACAGGTTTTGATAATTGTCAAACCGCCGTGGATATGAAGAGTTTCGTTGAATAACTCAAGGCGTGAAGAATGGCTTGGAACAAGACCTAAAAGACTCAAGGACAAGATCAAGAATTGAAGACTTAGTCGAGTCGGTCTTTTGTGATCAAAACTGACAATTTATTCAAGTCTCGGTTCTCAAAAAGTCAAAACAATTTTTACAAACCATAAAACATTTTTTTGTGCATCAAAACAAACATTTTTTTGATGACTTCTTTTATTGTTAAAAATCCCTGGTCCTTGCTCAGAACCAAAATCACCTAAGTCGGCTTTCGGCTTTCAACGTTCGGCTTTCGGCGTTCGGTTTTTGGCGCACGAACCAACTCCGTGGTTTTCATTATTTTAAACCCTGTTTTTATCTCTGAGCATATTTTAAAGGTTCCCGAATAATTGTTTTGTAAAAACCACTTTTGTATCTTGGTCAATCGGTCTAACACGTGAAAAACGGTCAAAACCGTACGCACGTGATTTACGACCTTGAGGACTTGGTTTTCACCTAACAAGTCTTGTTTTCACTATTTTATACCATATACAATGTTTTTCATACTTGGTTTTTACTTTTGGGAACGCTTCGTTTTTGGACCTCGGTTTTTCAAAACGGGTTTCAGCTGGCTAGACTTTAGCTGGGTGATAATCGATTATCACCTTAGTGACAATCGACTATCAGCCAATGCAGCTTTGAACTTCCAAGTTCTGAAGCACGCAATAATCGAATATCAGATTTGCAACAATCGATTATCAGCCTTGCAGTCAAAACCCAGTATCTTCAGAGAGGACCAATAATCGATTATCTGGGTTACCGTTGTCCTCCAACGGATAGAATTTTAAATTTTTGGACAGGGAATCTTTGGATAATCGATTATCATGGTTTGACAATCGACTATCAGCCTGTGTCCCTGAAAAATTTGTCTTCATCCTGTTGGAAATTCTAGCAACGGTTTTATCCCATTTTGGGTTATAAAATGGCACCCAAATCCTCTCTTTTAACACACAATTCTTCAACATTTCAATACTCATTCATTGCATAAGCATTCTTATTTTTCTTAGCTATTTGAGAGCCAATTCTTGAAGAAATTGTCGTGTTCTTGAGCGTTTACTAGTTCACTCATATCTACTCTTGTGAGAGTTTTATTCCTGAGTGTTTAAGTATTTTCATACACTTTAAGGGAGGTTGTTCCCTTGTTGTAAACTCGAAGGAAATTACTTGTTCCTTCGTGAGAAGTCTTGGAGTGCGGTATCTCCGAGCAAAGGTGTTGAGGCTTGTGTGACTCGGGTTCTCAAGATGTATTGGTTTGTTAAGCACCCTTAAGCTTAACGGAGTTAGTGTAGCTCGAGAGAGTCTCTCGGGGTGCTGGATTAGCCACACGTTGTGGTGAACCAGGATAAAATCCGGTGTGTTCCTTCCTTACGCTCTTTACTTTAACACTCTCGTTTTAATTTCCTGCGATTTTGTTTTAAACACTATTCACCCCCCTCTAGCGTTGGGCCTTTATTCTAACATGTACCCAACGACCTGTGGTCCGTTTAAACACGATTGCTCGCCTGGAAGTCTATACCCAGCGGCTCGTCCACTTGAGGGGGAGTGTTAGAGTGTCATCCCACATCGGAAGTCTAAGAGTAAAAAACAATCGGTATATAAGCTCTTGAGTTAAACTAACTAATCGATTGGATTCAATCTTTTAATGTGGTTCAACCCAGGTGTCTTATTACCCAATCGAGTTGTCCATACACATCCCAAATTCTATCATATTGGTTTTTAAATAAATTAAATTAGAAATAAAATTAGTCAATCATCATAATCCAAAATACGGCATTTTTATGTGATGGAAGACGTATAATAGTATACTCAATTTGTCTCTAAATTATTTTCTTTTTCGAACATCGTGCAAAATCTAAGCTCTTTAGAATTAATTTTATTTACAAATTAGTATGGAGTATAAAAATACTTTCTTCATCCATTTTGATCCTTTATAGTTTGAATTTAATGGTCAATGTCTTTAAACTTTGATTACAAATTACTAAAACAATACATTGAATTATGATTTTTGTTTAATATCAATAAATTTATTTTGAAATATAGTTAGAAATAACTATAAGTATATTGAAATATAGTTATTTAATGAGAAGATGGAGTATAAGATACTCCCTCCATCCTTAAATTAACTTATTGTTTCAATTTTTGAGCTTTAACCAATTATAATTTCAATTTAAATTTATTTGATTATAACTATAAATTTTAAAATAAAATTTTTATATTTAAAATCATATTAAAAGTTTTACAAAACTAGAAGTGATAAAATTATATTATTTTATCAAATAACTAATGAAAATAAAAACAAAAGTTGAAATAAGTTTGATTTGTGAATAGTAATGGTTTTAAGTTTAATGATTTTTTTTTGTTTTTTGTTTTTTTTGCAGTCTTTAAAAACGAAAAGAACCGAGGAAAAAGGGGAAGCATCGCAAAATTGAGTAGGAGCTCACATTACTAGGGTTAGGTTCTTCGCTCGCGGCAGCAAGAGGGTTTGGTTCCGGCGATACAGCAAGAACGATGAGTCGGAGCTTGGGAATTCCGGTGAAGCTTCTCCACGAATCGACGGGACACATAGTGACGGTGGAGATGAAAAGCGGCGAGGTCTACAGAGGAAGCATGGTGGAGTGCGAGGACAATTGGAATTGCCAGCTCGAAAACATCACCTACACTGCTAAAGTACGCTTCCACCTCTGTTTCTCTGTAAATCTCTCCTTTTTTCCCCGTTTTATTTCAGCAATTGCATTTTATATGTGTTCTTATTTGGTGCTAGTATATCTTGAACTCTAATCCTTAGACATTGTTTCTGGATTCTCGAGATTCAGATGCCGGTCAAAATGTGCATTTTATGTTTTTTTAAAAAAAAATCAATTAGATATAAAATTCAGATAATGAGATATGATTTGAGGCCTGAATACTCGTTCTACAACACTAGTGAAATTTTCATGTTCTCGAGATTTAATTGAACTCAGTTACTGACATTAGCAGCAAGGAACGGAATGGTGACATTACTGAAATTCTTCCTTTTGTTTCATTTTTTTTATTAATTCTACAGATTTATCAGGGAAACCTTTCTAATGGTATGAGTAGATATCTATGTAATTCCCATTTTTGGTCTCTGTTTCATGTATTTGTATCCATTGTGCTTCTTCGGCAGGGTTTTAGAACAGTTTACATTGGAATCATGGGATGCAAATGATTCATTTAGCAATTTGAGTGTTTTTTTAATCGGCAGTCTCTGGTGTGGAGACTGTTAGAAGCCATTCATTAAGTTTGACCAACAGAATATTTGTGAATTGCTATGATTTTTTATATTGCATTTTTCTATCTGACTCAAACTAATCCTTGGGTACTACACATATTCAAAACTGCAGGATGGGAAGGTTTCACAACTTGAACATGTTTTTATTCGAGGCAGCAAAGTCAGGTAATAATCAGTATTTTATTGAAAATGTTCACGTGCTTTTGTAATTTTTGTAACCTAAGTGTCATTGATATTTATCAGGTTCATGATAATTCCTGATATGCTGAAAAATGCTCCCATGTTCAAGCGACTGGATGCAAAAATCAAGGTATACTTCAATTGTCACATTGTTTAATTGCAACTTAAGTTGGTTTGATGTTTTTGCTAATGTTAGATTTTACCTTTTTTGTAGGGCAAAGGTACATCGCTTGGAGTTGGGAGGGGACGGGCGATTGCTATGCGAGCCAAAGTGAGTGCTGCATTTTTTTTAAAAAGCATAGTTGGTTTATGAAAAAAAAGATGAGGAAAATAGCTTTCCTCAAAATCGACATTCTTGTGTTTGCTTAGTTATCTCTTCTTAGGAAACGGCCTTTCGTAAGGGACCATGGCTCTTTTATATATTTTCCTACATCACACCCTTGTGGTGGGTCCCTATCCTTCACCATAGCTAAGGAGGGATGCTTTTTGCACTGGGCTGCCTGTTAGCAAAATCTAATTCTTTCGTGATACTAAAAAATGTCAGAGAAATATCTAATTGCTTTTACATAGTTCTGTAATCTTTTTCTATTCTAATGAAAATATAAATTGTCTTATAAACACGGAGTATCTCATTTTCAATCAACCAATGAACCAAATACTAAAATAATACTTTCTCCCTAGGTTTTGCAAACCAAACAGTAGAATATAGGTCACATTTGATTCCCTTGTTTCATTCCATAGGGAACGATACTCTCATTTAGTCATTCTCTCAAAAATCATCATGTATTCATGTGATATATGCAATTTTTTTTTGAGGGATTTAGGGAGTGCACTTTTTTGTAACCACACATGAAGAGCTGGGATTCCAAAACCCATACCTGATATTCATTCCTAGGGGAGCCGTAAGGGCCCCAAGTATATTAAAAAGTCACGGTAAACTGTGGGATTTCCTCATGATCCCTGGATACACCCTCTGCTAAGGACTTTTAAAACTGTGCGCTAGCATGATGCCGAGATATTGTAACAAAAAACGTCTCCTCTTTTGTTTACCCGTTAATGAGAACTTTCTTACGTACCTAAAAAGGGTCTTACCATTTTCATTTCTTTGTTTCCAGGCACAGGCAGCAGGTCGCGGAGGTCCACCTGGAAGAGGCAATGTGCCACCTGGAAGGCGGTGATCTCACAAAAGGTGGATTCGTTTCGCTATGCTTTTGATATCACATATATATCTACTGTGTACCTCTCTGCGTTTTTTCAAAATTTCATGGGATATCTAGTGACTGAAATTGTTTTTTTAACTTCTCCTTTTGGGATTTCTCAACCATGTCATGACTCTTAAATATGTTTTGTACATTTCAAATCCAATTTGGCAACAATCTTACCTCACTGGGATTATGCCAATGTATTTCTGACCTAGCCACAACCCCAATCCGAACTCTCACTGGGCTGGGCCTTGTTTTGGGATTGGCATAGCCCAAGAATCCTTTTCACATGGGCCTATGCATCACTTTCATGTTGTGCTATTCCGACCCCTTTAATTTATCCTAGTGACTACTCCAACTTTTTTTGGGCCGAGCCTGATATTGAAGTTCATGTTTCGTCCATTCAATTGACATATCGAAAGTCTGAAATTTAAAAAGTTCAATATGCTATAAATAAGTCCGTCACATTTTACACAAGTTCAATGTTATTCATTTTACAATTTTACTTCTTTCACTCAATAAATAACGTAAGGGGTTTGCTAGGGGTATCCTAGCTTTTGTATCCCAAGTTTGTCATAGACGCACATAGACATCAATTGTCTGTGCAGACAGAGACATTTGATGCCCGATAAAACCGAGAAACCAAACTTTTAAAAATACTTTCTTTGTTCTAAAATGTTCTTTCCAGTTACTATTTATACGGTCAAACTTTATTTTTACTTGCTTTCTTTAGTTATTTGATAAAATAATATAGTCTTGTCACATCTTGTTTTTTAGAACTTTCAATGTTTTTATTTATATAAATTTTATTTCTTAATTTTACACCTACCATCGAATAAATTGAATTGAAACTAAAGTCGGTCAAACTTCGTAAACAGAAACCAGAAGAACGTTTTGGGACGGAGGGAGTATCAAATTGTACCAAACCGAATGTTTGGTTTGGTGTTACGAAATGGTACTAGGTAATTTCACATACTGAAAAACTTTGAACCAAATATACATACTGATATATTATAAATATAATTGATCTCTCAATATTATTTTATTTATTTCATCAAATACTTCGTAATAAGTTTATTTTGAAAATTTGATTCAAATTTTATTATGTGTACATTGTACATTTATTTGAGTTTCAATTTTTTGTGGATGAAGTTTTAAAAATATTACAGAGTAGCACACATTTGAAATATCATTGTTATCATCCGTTCACTTTAGTTTGTAAAATATATACTAAGTTACATAAACATTATTTACATTTAATTTTTTATTTTTAAATTTTTTTATGTTTTTTTATTTAAATATATTTTCCAATTTTCAAAAATAAAAAGTTTGTGCTGTTTTTAAATTTAAATTAGATGCTTATGTATTATACATCTTGATTTGTACCAAAACCGAAACTGAATCATACCGAATCAAAATTTCAAGATCGAGATTAGTACGACGTAAAATCCAATAACGAACATGAAGTGTTAACATATTTTATAATTTTTTTATAGCGCAAATTAAGTTTTGAAATGCTTAAGCTAAAGATTACGACCAATATTACATAATTTTTTAAAAGAGTAAATTCCATAATTGGTCATTTATAACATGGGAGTTTTCATATTTAGTCTTCTATTATCAAATATTACCTTGTAGTTCTTTTTTTAAGGGTGTTTTTTCCACAAATGGTCCTTTTCTGATCTTCTGTCATGTTGGTGTTAATTTAAAAGTAAAAGTATAATTTGACATCAACATTATGTCTAGTGATGTGTTCTGATATTGGTTAAGTGGATAACACAAAAATAATGACTATGATTGTGAGCTAGGATTCCGACAAAAGACCATATTTGTAGACTATGGTTGTAGTAGAAAGCGACTGTAATTCACAAACGACGCAAACGGAACAGCCTTTGGAATTGTGTATGACAAAAAAGATATACTCCCTCCGTTTCTAAATATTTGCCACTTTTTTTTCCCGAGGCAAAATATTAAGTTTTTTAAATTCATTTTATTTATATATTGGTATAAAAATAAAAAATAAAATTTACATATAAAAAAACTACATGAAAAGTTCTTCGAAATAAGAGGTGTCAAGAATATTTTATTTTATCAAATAACTAATGAAAACGTAGAAATAAAGAAAAGTTGCTGCGACTGCTGAAAAAGCAAACGTTGCCAATAATTTGGGACAGAGGGAGTATTATCATTGTGAAATTACACTTTTAGCCCTCAAATTAACACCAACATGATAGAAGATCAAAAAAGGACTATTTGTAGAAAGATACCCATAAAAGGACTACTGAAATAATATTTGATAATATAAGACTAAATAGGGAAACCTCATGTTATAAATGATCAATTATGGAATTTACTCTTTTTAAAAATACTAAAGTTAAACATTGAAGTTGTACAGCGAGATAACTGAAAAAGGCCATTCGCCCATTCTCAACACATAATGGTACGTACAGTCACAGGCAAGAAAAGACGCAATTGAGGGTACATTTTGATAAACACGGGTAAGAATAATTTAGGAGTAAGTTTGAAAGAGAGAGAATACATATACTTTGTAACATTTTGTTGAGTAGTGTCAAGGCCCATTAGTGCATTATCTCTTCAATTCAATAATCTCAACATTTTAAACGTAGGAACCGCTCGAACACTTAGGTTTTGTTTGGTAACAGCCTTTTCGATTAGTTTTAGCGTTTTGGATAAAATTTTAACGGTACAGATTAATTCTGAAAACGCTAACGCTAAAGGCTACCGTCGGATAGCTTTTTCAAAACGCTAACGCTAATCTCTGACGCTGATACCAAACGGAGCCTTAATATAGAGAAGTTTAGTGCTTTTAGACATATAATATATTGCCATAAAAAGAAATTGAAAGAACATATTACTATAATTAAACAAACAAATTAAAACACACAACATTAGGATCAAATCTATATTGGAATGGTCGGTTTAGATTGTATGGTTAGAGATGATCCGAGCACACACAAATCAAAAGCCGCGTAAGAATAATGATTACTCTAATCTCTGTGTGCAATTCCATCCACTTATTAATTAACTAAATAATTACCTATAAGAAATCACAATAACAAGATAATGATATGCTTCACAAATTGCGTCCATTTGCCAAAAATGGAAGGGAAGGATCTAATTAAGCACACCCTATACTTGCAAAGAAAGTGACGGATAACATACAACACTTGTAGCTAGGTCAAGGTCAATATATATATCCTTTAGTTTGTGCCATACACATTCTATGGGTATGTAATTCATCTCTTCTTAAACTAAAGTCATACTTGTTAGAGTGTCATCCCACATCGAAAGTCCAACAGTAAAATAATCGTTATATAAACTCTTTAGTTGAATTAACTAATCGATTGTATTTAACTTAAGAGCTCCATATTTAACCAAAGCAAAATAGTAGGAGTTGTCAATGTTTGTATCCGACGCTTGTTTGATGCTGAAGTTGTCTATCTCAAAAACAAGGCTGTCCCTGAGGAATCAAGGGTTTGGGACGACACAGAGAAAATGGACCCTTAAAACAATAAAATAAAATCTATAACCTAATTTTTTTATCAATAGTTAGTATTATCAATTTATAATTACATACCTTTTGTGTCTATATATATATATATATATATATATATATATATATATATATATATATATATATATATATATATATATATATATATATATATATATATATATATATATATATATATATATATATGGAATTCAAGCGGAGAAATATGATTATTAAATCCTGACAAATGGAATATATGTGTTATATGCTTCATAGTCTATTTTATAGATTCTACACTTCATGATAGTATTGATTTGAAAACTATTACCTATACCACCCATTTTTTCCCGTTCCGCCAAGTTCACCTACAGGTGATTGGTGATGTATGTAAGAGATGATAAATGGATAAGGTAATGAACGTGTATTTAATGGATGGATCAGGTGATTGGTTATGTATGTAATAGATGATAGATGGATAGGGTGATGAATTTGTATTTAATGGATGAATGAGGGTGAAGCTCTACCCAACCAAACCCAACATGTTTTTATATATTCTAATTAGTAAAACATCTAAAAGTTATGGGATATTTCTAAAAACTTCTAAGACTGAGCTACTTCTGATTCACTAGTTGTAACTAAGGATATCTTTGGAGCTAGAGCTCTATATAAGATCTTAGTCAATTTTTTGATAGCTTCTAGAAAGTTCCAAGATGAACCCAATTGGACTACTAGACCTTAGTGTTGATCGGACAACGAAAGTGCACTCAGGTTTCAAGACAACGACAACTCTAGCAAGCTTTGTCGGTCACTTCTAATCGACAAACCTCATTGACCATGACCAAACGTACGGTATAATTATGTCGTACAAAATGCAGTAACAACAATGAACCTAGAGCCAATTCCGGAGGGCAGTGAAGATGAGAAGATGTATGGATACATGTTTGAGGATTTCAATTAATTAGTTGTCTCAATTTGAACTTAACACTTTTTGGGAACCCACCCTGGAAACAACTCAGCATGAGGTAGGGTCCAGTGATTGGAAGAGAATTGCACATCGCATGGTGTCTAGTGTGCCCTCGGTGGTCCTTAAAAATCTAGAGGTCTGAGCGCCGTACACACCTGGTTGTACTCATAACTGCATCAGGTCTCCAAAGTGAACAGTCAATGGAACAATGTTTGCAAGGGAAGTTGGTTAAATGGATATCTAACTTTGAGGAAAAGGATTGGCTCTGTGGGTTGGACATGGGAGTCCCAATCTTGATCTCTATGGTTGTTTGAGCAATGTTGGTTCTCTAGGTCGCTGCATGCCTTTTAGGGGATGGATTTAGAGTGGTCCTCTTGGAAGTCTTGTTCAAGCGTTGAACAACTAACTTAGAATTAGTCAACTAGAGATGTGGGATGAAACAAAAGCAGGATTTTAATGTCAAATTGTGTGGTAACTTAGATCTCACAAGGGGTGTTGGTTGATTAAGACAACAAAATGATAGTCATGGAAGTTGAAATGCGCTAAGAAGTGTGTTACTACTCACCTGCCGGATCAACAAGTCCCAAAATTGGATGACGCTTAAGTGTGTAACTAATACTCAACCGTTGGGGCAAGAGACAACCCCCAATGAGTAAGAGGGCATGGCAACACTACGAAATCTCAAGTGTGTGCCTTGGTGGAGTAGTCATCGGTGGCGATCTTGGTGGTAATAACAGATGTTCAAATGAGATCGAACTTTGGAGGTTCTAGATGGAAAATGTTTTTATATTCTAACAAAAATAAAACGTTATACTCTGTAAGTAAAACTGGAAAGC